TCAAATATTTCTTCTTGTTAGCGCATCACAACACAAAGCATTGTGCAGTAAAAAGGAAGGAAGAGACGGGGAGGGGGGATTGAAACCTTATGCTTCTTTTGGTAGTTCAGTAACCAAACTCAATTAAAACTCATAAAGGCACAAATAACATAAACAGCTCACTCATGTCAATTAACATAGGCAATTAACAAATTATCCTTGTCATTTAAACATAGGAATCGAACTCATTCCCTTCTGTCTCTCAGCAACCTAATAGAAAGTATAGAGCATAATCATAATAGAAGAAAACAGATGAAGAACCTTTTTACGCCCAGCAGCAAGCAAATCGTTTCGGCCCCTGTTCTTGTCCATCCAGTCCGCTCAGTTTTTAAAGCTACTGAGACTTCCCCAAAGATCAACACCACCGCCAAAAAGTCTCAGCAACCATTAGATCCTACCTACTAACCATGCCCAAAATTAAACCAGCAAAAAATAATAATTATCATCTAAAACCACCATAACCATTATTACATGCTAATTCTGGGTGTGTGTGTGTGTGTGTGTATATATATATAGAGATAGAGAGAGAAGCATATATATAGTTTAACTTTGTGAGAAAATTGGTTTCGTACGTCGCAGAAACTAAGCTACCGCGCTGCTACAAGAAAATCTGGAAATCCTCTAATACCACTAATATTAAACTCTTATCAGTTAAAAGTTTCACTGAACCGAAAACATCGATTAACTCTATACTCCCACATTTCCCCAGCAACAACAAATTTCTAATTCAAATAAAGAAACACGAAAATCTAACCGCATGCTCACTACCCATCAACTCAAATGAGAAAAGAGGGAACCAAACAGAAAACAGCGATTCTCTAACAGCAGAATATTTCTATTAGGAAATGAACGAGCGAGCGAGAAAACGCATACCTCGATTTGGTTCGATCTGCGTCGGACGCGATCGGCGTTATCTCTTGCCAAATGTTTACTTGAGAAAAAAAAATGATCATGGAAAAATGAAATAAAGGAAGAAGGATGAATCACACTTGTTTTGCGTGTTTTATTGTTGTGTGTCTCCCCTTAGATCTGATGCAAGCTTTGTTTCCGTAGCAGAGGAAATGTCCGAAATCCTATTTCGTATTTTTACCGTCTGTTAGAAGTCAGGAGATGGAGATGAAGAAATGCCTGGTAGGTTGAAATTGGCTTTGTTAATCAAGCCCGAATAACCAATTTTTTTGGGCTTTTTCTTATTGGGCTGTTCATGCTACTGCTATATCTACTTGTTTCTTATATGCAAATATATATATATATATATATAACAATAGCAATTACTAACTAAATATAATTGGTTCAATCAGAATCCTTGAAATTTTAATTTAAAAAGCAGGAATTAATATTTGAAGTTTATGTTTTCTTTTTTCGAACCCGACCCTCACCCTCTCTGCGCTGCTTCCCTTGCTTCACCACTCCGCCGCTTGCATCTATTCTCTATTTCACCCCTTAAATAATCTTCATCATCACCGCGAGCAAATAGAACTCCTTTCAGGAGTATCAATACCGTCACATGAATCGTAAATGCATGAATGTGATGTACCAAAAAATTCGCGGTTCCTAATGGAATAGGTAACAAAGCAACTTTGCCACCCACTGCTACTAGATCACCGCCCCCCCAAGTCAAACTGGTGCTCGCTGTTTCACCAGGGGCTGTTGCACCAGGCGCTAAGGCATGAGTATTTTGTATCCATTGAGCAAAGACAGGTTGTAATTGTATAGCGGTATCTGAAAACATATCTTGTTAAATCCCAACAGATCTCCATCCCCTGTTTTCTCTTTTCCTTTATGCTTCTTCTTCCTCTTTTTTCTGCTGCCAGAAGCCATCATTTTATTCTCTGTTTCACGCTTCTTCAATGCTGCATCTTTATCTCTTCTGATGTCCTTTCGTCATCATAGCCGAGCCTTTTGACCTGGTCTTCACGCCATGAGACCATCAAGCTCTGCATCTTCTTCTTCCCATATTTATGGCTACCATAAACAAATTTCTACAATGTAATGCAGGCAATAAACGCAAGTGCATCTCCTCAACCTGCATCTACGAGATTCATTACGCAGACAAATCTTTCTCCACCGGCTCCTTTGGCAAGGAAAGGTTAACCTTAACACCCAGAGACGTCCACGACGGTTTCAACTTTGGTTCCTGATAGAAAATTTGACAGAAAGGAGGCAGAGCAAAATGAACCTAAGAGTGAGAAAAATGTTTTTATTCAATTCATACGTGCAGCTTACACAATATATATAGTCATCAGCAATGGTAGCATAACAGAAGAAACAAAAATAAAACAGAATGCAGGGAACAGGGGCACCATAACAGAAGAAAACAAAAATGCAGGAAAACATACAGAAGCAGGAAAACATACATCAGGAAAACGTACCAGTGCTGGTACGTGGGCAATGGACAAAAGAAAAAAAAAACGGTTACAATTAAATATATTAATTATTCTTAATACTCTCCCTCAAGATGGAAGGTACAGATTTATTGTGCCCATCTTGCTCAGTAAATTGGCGAATTGTGCAAGATGAAGGGCCTTTGTCATTAAATCTGCCAGTTGATTTCGAGTGGATATGTGCATCGTCTTCACGGTACCATCTTGAATCTTCTCACGAACAAAATGACAATCAAGTTCAATGTGTTTTGTTCTTTCATGATACATTGGATTTGAAGCAATATGTAGAGCGGCTTGATTATCACAGTAAAGTAATGCAGGGCCTTGGTGTTGAACTTTTAAGTCACGCAACAGCTTCAGAGTCCAAACGATTTCGCAAGTAGTGTTGGCTATGGAGCGATATTCGGCTTCGACAGATGACCAAGAAACGACTTGTTATTTCTTTGATTTCCATGAGACTAATGAAGACCCAAGGAAAACACAAAAACCAGTGAGGGATCTTCTAGTATCCGGACATGTGCCCCAATCAGCATCAGAAAAGCCTTAATCTGAATGGCAGATGATGAAGGAAAGAAAAGACCTTGTCCAGGGGTTCTCTTGATGTACTGGAGAATCCGTAAGGCGGCTTGGAGGTGACTGGTTCTAGGAGCAGCCAGAAATTGACTCAATCTATTGACAGAGTAGCATATGTCAGGGCGAGAGATGGTTAAATACAACAGTTTTCCAATTAGTCGCCGATAACTGGTGATATCACTCAGGAGCTCGCCATCATCTTTAGACATTTTAATATTAGGATCCATAGGAATAGATGAGGGTTTACAACCAAGTTATACAGTCTCAGTTAAGAGCTCCAATGCATATTTCCTTTGGCACAAGGTGATTCCTGTGTCATTTCTTGCAATTTCAAGTCCAAGAAAATATCGGAGAGTTCCCAAATCTTTCATTTTAAATTTTTGTTTGAGTGTACCTTCGAGTTCTTCGACAGCCTGATCGTCATTACTGGCAATAACAATGTCATCGACATACACCAACAATGCTAAGAAGGTTTTACCTTGTTGTCTGACAAATAGGGAATGGTTACATTGTGACTGATAGAAGCTTTCTTGAAGTAATATTTGTGAAAACTTATGAAACCACTGTCATGAAGCTTGTTTCAACCCATAGATTAACTTGTGGAGGCGGCAAACAGGTTGATGTGGAAAAGTCTCCCCCTCTCGAGGAGAATAGCCTGGAGGAATAGTCATATAAACTTCTTCGTGAAGGTCACCATGTAGAAAGGCGTTGGTGACGTCCAATTGAGTCAGGTGCCAACCATGGATAGCAGCAAGTGAAAGCAAAATCTTGACAGTAACCAATTTAGCAACATGAGAAAAAGTGTTAAGAAAATTGATGCCAAATTGTTGTGTGTAGCCCTTAGCAACCAGACGGGCTTTGTATCTTTCTATGGTCCCATCAGCTTGACATTTAATTTTGTAACCCCACTTGCAGTCAATTGGTTTCTTCCCATGAGGGAGGGAAACAATAGACCAAGTGTTATTGTCTTCTAAGGCACGCAACTCCACATTCATAGCATTCATCTAAACATTGGACTGGTTAGCTTCATGAAAGTTGGTAGGCTCAGTGTGGGAGGAAATGGCGCAAATAAAGTTGTGATATTGGGAGGTAAGTTTGGTATGAGTAAGGAACGAAGAAATAGGATAGAGTGCACGGGTATCTGTATGGTAGCAGTGATAGTCAGACAAATAAGAGGGTGGTCGTGTTATACGTAGTGGGCGAGATGAGCGTGTTTGGGAGGATTTACGTTGTGAACAAAGAGGTGTATCAAGACAATCTGAGGATTGTGTAGATGTATGGAGAGGAATCGGTAAAACACGATCGTGAAAGAAATCATTATGAATGGGATCAGGTAATTGAGAGGAAAGAAACGGGAAGATATGTTTATGAAAAAATGACGTTACGTGAGATAAAAATTTGGTTGCTCTCGATGTCGAGAAGTTTATATCCTTTGTAGCCCGAAGGATAACCGAGGAAGATACAAGCCCTGGAACGAGGTGAAAATTTGTGGCGATGACTATCAAGAGTTGAGCAGTAACATAGACAACCAAAGGTACGCAAGTGATCATAGGAAGGTTTTTTTTGAGTTAACAGTTCGAATGGAGTTTTATTTGATAACAAGGGGGACGGTGTACGGTTAATTAGGTAAACAACAGTCAAGATACAATCGCCCCAATACACAAGGGGAATATGAGATTGAAACAGCAAAGCACGAGCTACATTTAAAATGTGTTGATGTTTACGTTCAATGACAGAGTTTTGTTGGGGAGTCTCAACACAATAATGGTAAAAAACAATGCCCTTCGATTTGAAAAAAGAATGAAAATTCAGCTCGTGCACATTGTCAGATCGCACAGATTTAATGGAAATATTATATTGTGTACGTATAAGAGTATAAAATTCAGGGAGAATAGAAAGAACGTCGGACTTTTGACGAAAGAGATACACCCAAGTAGTTCTAGTACAATCATCAACTATTGTGAGAAAATATTTGTATCCTTCGATAGTGGGTGGAGAGAAGGGTCCCCAAATGTCAATGTGGATTAGATCAAATGGATTATTAGATAATCTATTGTTAGAAACGAAAGATAATTTACATTGTTTAGCTAAATGACAAATCTTACAATGAGAAATATTCGAAGTTTGTAAGGAGTCATTAATATACTAAAGTTTTACATTGGAAGGATGACACAATCTAAAGTGTCATAGGCTACTTTTAGAGTGAGTGAAAACATGATGAACAGCAGGAAAAAGAAAACATCTGGTAGTTAAGTAGTAGAGGTTGCCAATGCGTCTACCATTCCCAATCAACAAGTCCCGAGTGCGGTCCTGAATGACACAAGAATGAAGAGAAAAATCAATTGTGCAGTTGTGGGTGGTGGTCAACATGCTGACACTGACAAGGTTAAAAGAAAAGTGAGGGACAAAGAGAACATCATGTAGAGTTAGGGTGTCGGTGAGTGGTGTACTTCCAACTTGATTGACTATTACTGAACTACCATTTGGTAAAGTGACTGGAATGGGATGCACAGTTTTAAGGTGTGTGAAAAAGTGGGTGTACAACAAATATGATGTGTGGCTCTAGAGTTAATGATCCAGTATTCAGAGGTAAGTGTGTGTGTGAAGTTGGAAAGACAAAAGAGTGTGTAGGATATACCTGCCGCGTAAGGGTCAAGGGTGGTATGACTTGTGGAGAGAGATAAAGTGTCAAGCATGATGGCGGTGTTGGGTTGGTGGAGGTGTGCACTTAGGTGAGAAATAATGTTCTGAATTTGCGATGTGTTTAAGTTATCGACAGAAGCAGCGGGATGAGATCCCGGTAAGCAGTTGTCGAGAGAGTCGGAAAAATTCTGCACTTGTCTTGTGGTCGGGTGCATGCCCGAGGAGGATGAAACTTCATGGGCCAAGGTATGGTTGGCTGAAAAGAACCCGGGCTTGGATTGAGGGCCAGGCGGGTTGAAAAAACTGGTTCCATGAGTGGGCCGAGAGATAGCTGGTGGGTTACGGGCTTGGGCCCGCATTTGGGCAAATCCCTCATCAAAGACAGCTGGAGCATTGTGGGTCTGTGTGTGGCCCACAAGCCCACAATGTGAACAGATGAGTCTCCTTCTTCCTTGAGTTAGGGCAACAGAGGGTGCAGAACCGTGACCTGTTTCTACGTGTGAGTCGAACCCGATTGCACGGTGTCGTTCCTCCTGCACCACCAGCGAGAAGACTTTCAAAATGGATGGAGAGCATTCCATCATCAAAATTTGGGCTCTAACAGCAGCATAGGAGGGATTTAATCCCATTAAGAAAGTCATTATAAACTCTTGTTCCTGATAATCGTTCCATGCCTTCAAGTTTCCGCAGTGACAGCTTGGAGCTGGTTGGAAGGTTTTGAGTTCATCCCAGATTGTTTTCATTCATGTGTAGTATGTGTTGATGTTGAGTGATCCTTAAGTAAGATTGTTCATGCTCTGCTTCAATTGATAAATACGAGGTGCATTACTCTACTGATAACGGAGCTGTAAATCGGTCCAGATGGATTGTGCACTTTCATGATATAACAAGTTGTCAGCTATCTCCTTGGTGACAGCATTCAGCAACCAAGAAACCACCATACAATTACCACGTGACGAAGCTGCGGCATGGGGATCGGTGCTGCTTGGTTGATCATGGGTTCCGTCTATGAATCCCAACTTATTTTTAGCTGTTAGTGCTATCCTGATTGCTCTTTCCCATGTGTTGTAGTTGTTCCCGTTGAGAAGATTGGATACCAAAACTAAACCGGGGTGGTCAGCACTGTGAAGGAAGAATGGATTTTGGAGGTCATCAGACTGATCTCTAGGAGATCAAGTGTTTTGTAGCTCAACTACTGAGCCAAAAAAAAATGTTAGTTGAAGGTTTAAGGCTCTGATACCATGATAGAAAATTTGACAGAAAAGAGACAGAGCAAAATGAACCTAAGAGTGAGAAAAATATTTTTATTTAATTCATACCTTTGCAGCTTACACAATATATATAGCCACCAGTAATGACACCATAACAGAAGAAACAAAAATAAAGCAGAATGCAGGGCACATGGGCACCATAACAGAAGAAAATAAAAATGCAGAAAAACATACCGAAGCAGAAAAACATACCAGTGCTGGTACGTGGGCAATGGACAAAAGAAAAAAAGAAATGAAAACGGTTACAATTAAATATATTAATTATTCTTAATAGTTCCGCAGACAGAAACGTGGGTCTCTTCGGTGGCTCCGCCGGTCTCATCTTCTAGCTCCAAGGGCCACCTCACCTTCGACGCTCGAGCTGTCCTCCTTCCATCAGTCATTGCTGCTTGAGCTTCTCTTTTAGCGAAAAGAAAAAAAAAAAACTGCTGAAAAATGTTCTTTTGGCAGCAATGATTTTCCAGGGAAAGTCTCTTCAGGTTTCCTGGAAAACTCTTGATCCTATGGATCTGAATTTGTAGTTGCAAAAACTTCCAGAGTGATGACTCAAATGGGTAGGAAGAAGAAGACGACTTTTCTCAATGTCGAAGATGCTGTTGAGTTCTTCAAGCATCTGATGGCGGAGAGACCTTCTGTGATCTTGTTGATTCCTGCGATTTTGGTGTTGTGAGTTGTTGAGAGATGGGTTTTCTCTTTGTCAAATTGGGTTGCTCTTGGTGTTGCATTATGGACAACTGTTCAGGCAAGTTCCTTTCCCTCTTTCTTCCTCTGTTCTGTAATACTATTACTTTTCTAAATTCTTCTATGTATTTCTCCTTTTATAGCTTTAGAAGCTGTTCTTGTTCCTTTACTTCTTGTTAAGAATACACATGGTGCTAATGTTAGGAAACACGGCTATCATGTCAGCAGTATGGGAATCATCAATGCCGAGTACTCGCGGAAGACTTAAAACAAAAAGTGGAAGCAAGTCATATTACATACATCGGTATCAGCCACCACTTTCAACATCATTTCTGCTTAACTGGGATTTGAGTTTTATATGATGGAAGTTTGGCCTAACTTCACGAACCCCAGGCTTTCAATAAGATTTGCGTACTTGGTAGAGGTGGGACTCCAACATTCCAATATTAATATCTGGTAAATTACTCTCTTCAAATCTTGTATTTCTCTTGTGCAGCTCCAACTAATAACCATTGTTCTCGCTTGAAGTGATTGAATAAAACATTTAATGCTGGCTGGAAGACGTAGTCATTCTTTTCAATCATAACTGTTGAGATAAATATAAACAATAAAACCGGTCATTGTACCAGCTTAAGCTTTTGGAAAATCTGGTTGCAACTTATTATTTGATAATAACCATTACACATCTTTTGGTATAATCTTATTCCCTTTTGCATAATGAGATAGGTTTGTTAAATTCTTTTGTTTGCAGAAATGCTTAAAGCATCGAAAATCAAGGCTTATAGTAAGTCAAGTGCTCTCTTTTCATTTTTTTTTTTGGCTAAAAAACTTAAAGCTAATTAAGCAAGCTGAGAGAGGAATTGTTGCTAATAGTAAATTGCATGTTGGGAACTGTCCTTCGTATAGGAAAAAATTTTCATTAGTTACATGTGCGCCTCGTTTGGGTCTTCATGGGCCTTGCTGGTGTACTTGAGGAGATCATGTCTGGATTCTGGCTCAATTTTTTTGAATTATTTGTAGGAGTACCTAATGCTTAATCAATTCTTTTTTCTGATTATGGGTTTTTTATTTCATTCTCTCACCTATGTTGTAACACACTAGATGTTTGATTGTGCATTTTTTGAAAGCGAGTAATGCGTTTAGGTTTTGACTGGGACACCAACGACATTAGCATTTTGTAGCTTGCTAAGCTGGCCAGGCCATTGATTGGGACTGCACGGATTGTGATAAATAGTCTCCATATCAAGGGTGATGTATGCATAGGAATCTCTTATTCTACAAAGGTTTGTGTTTAATTTACTTGTATTGGTCATCATGCCTACTGATATTTATTCCAGTGATTTTCTCTTTTACAGCTTTTATTGATGCCAATTCTGGATGGAAAAGCAGTTTTATTCTCCTTCGTTTCAACTCCTGAAGTCAGAATAGGATATGCCTTTGAGAGCGGGGGAAGCCAATCATTACCTGCGACAGAGCTTCCAGGCGTCTCTTCTTGGCCGGTACTTCTCTTAGCTGATGCTTTCTAGTTGATAAGATATCATTTAAGAATCTGCTTTACTTTTCATTTTCTTCTATTTAATATTTTTCTATGTTCTTGCAATGTTAAATAGTTTTGTTCGGCAATTTTCATTTGTACTATGCACTGATAAGTTGAGTTTCATCTATCAGAAGACTAATTCTGGAATACTTTTACCAATTTTAAGGAGTAAGAAAAGATGATTCGTTGACAAAAAGGAAAATTACAAATTCTCATAGTAGTAGGATCATTATCTTTGTGAAAATCTGTTTCAGCATATGGTTCCTTGTCTTGTTATAAAGTATTTCGCCGCTCCATCTCATACAGTTTCTGCATTTTACTTTGTCGAGGACTTTTGACTGATATACTTTGGGAAAAATTTTGGCACTGTGGATAAATATATCCAATTACTTGACTCTAAATCAAAGATTATTGAATTTAAGCAGAAGTCACTGATGTTGTGTTTGGTTCATTTCCCATTTAGTTCTTACATAATTTTCTATTAGTCTTAAATATGTTAATTGTAATATAATATTGTGTTTGAGTTACCATCACTCCTGTCCTGAATTATACTCCCGAACAAAGAATTCAAAATGGGCTAGTGATAATTCAAAAATAATAAATTATAGTTATTAAGACTAAAATGAGAATCAGAATTAAGAATTTACTAGAAATTGAATGGGAAATGAACCGAATGTGGCTTAAATCCTGGGAAAGCATTATATTCGGTTGGAGTCTTGGCTGATTATATTGGGAGATCAGTATCTTCTTTATTAAAAAAGTTTATTCGTATATTTATTCTTAATTCTCAATTCCGGTTAAAGTTTTAACTGACACCTTAGAGAGGACAATATTTGAACCTCATCTCCGATGTTTCTCTTTGCTAACCATAGATTTAAGGAAAAAGGCAGTTGGTGGTATCATAAAACTTTCAAGGAGTGGCTTGAGGATAACATCAAAATCATTCTACAAATGGCAGTTTAGGTGATTAGTCTGATGGCAAAAATCTGCAAACATTTGTGGAAGTTGAACTTGAAGAGTTAACTACGAGAATTAATGTGAGATTAGGATCTAATCCCAAATGGAATTCAACATTTAATATGGTCTTGCACAAAGAGCCATCTTTATGAATGTACTTGGGGCAGCATAAAATTTGACTATCTAACTAGTTGCGAAATTAAGGTACTTCATTTCAAATAATTTCAAGGTCTAAGTACAATGTGACTGTGTGATTTAGTCTTATTACAAGCCAGACTAATTTTGTTTTTGGTGACAATTGAGTTCCTCGACAATTTTTTCTTTTTGGTTTGACATAAGATATAACGGTCCCGAAAATTTAAAAATAAATGTATATAATAATTTGAGTGCGAAAGTGAAATAAAGGTTAAGCTTAACATCTCTTATACGATAACTCAAAAGTACTAACAAACATCACGAAATAATTTTCTAAAAGAAATACGAAAAATAAAAAAAATAAAGGAAACTATAAAGTATCTAGGGTCTACTCGTAGCCTTCTTGCGGATCGGGCTCAGGGACTGGATCCTCATGATCTGAAATGTTTAAATAAGGGGGTAAACTACACTAGTCCAGTAAGGACATCACAATATATCGCCGTCACAGAAGTAAAGGTTGGTAGAAAACCAAAAACAACTAATGGAGCACAAATTTTAAACAAATTCATTTATCAATAATCAAATCATTTACCGTCCACTTACCGCAGTGAGATTTATAAAAACATATGGAAACAATAACATTATAAATATCATGAATTCATATATAATCTGTAACATAGCACATATTATACTTTTATATTCAAATCATCAAATAACAATTGCTCTTTTTTATCAGCCTACTAGTATCCATGGGGATCCATAGAGGTGTCTCTGCTACACGTAAACCCTTTCTATTAACAATCTTAATGCCAGGGTCGTCCCTATACCCTCTCCGGTATGAGTGCCAAATGACAAAGTCTCCATACCCCGTCCGATATGAGACAACGTTCATGGTAGGATTCCCTATGAACCCGGTCCGTCCACCATCTCTCAGGATATTTAGTGAGGCTGTTATCTTATTCATTTATCTGATTACATCCCTTTCCTGTTTATCCTTAATCTCTGTCGTCAAATTAAACACAATCACATAAATAATGAATATGTACCCGGTAATACAATCATATTTTAAATCCCAAAATCACGCAGTGGTCAAGTAATACATGCATTTAAGACTCTAAAACCAGATATCATCATGCCTTTAAACAGTAAAATAAATCAACAGAGAACAATGTCCGATTTCGGGCTCCATTAGCAATCCGTAATTAATTATGCATATTTATCTAACTTGTACAAAAGACCGTATTATTATTTATTCAAACTTTAAATCTATGATAGGAAATAGGGTGAGGATCCTTACTTGATTCGACGCCGAAAACTAGATGGTTACTGCGCCTACGGCCGGTCATTGGGTTCCCTGAATTCTTCTTCGGGAACTGAAACACACTTACGGTACCTACAAGTGTCTCAAATAAACCCAAAAATCAGACCCAGGGCCCACTCGACCAATTTCAGAATTCCGGCACGGCGGCTCCGTCGTGCTCCGGCGACGGTGCCACCGCCCGCAGCGGCGATCCGCATCGGGTTGGCTGTTTTCGATCGTTTTCGGTCGAATTCAGCCAAACTTGTATTGATTCTTACGAGAAAACACACTTAGCACACTCAGTGGACCGAAAAAATACAAAAAATTGAAACTCACTGGCGGTGGGGTTCTCCGGTGTAGCGACTCCTCTGGCTCACGTTGCGGTTGGGCGTTTTGCTCCGGTCAACCTGTAGAGGAGGAAACGGTGATCACAACGGTAGAAAAATAACATCGAACGGGAATCAGAAAGGGCCTCATTGGAGGCAAAAAATCGAAACACCCCGCGGTGGCACTGTTGAGCTTCAGCTGTATTTTCCGGCCAATTGGCCGATTCTTTTACTCCGATTTAGTCATGGGTGGGTTTGAAACCAAATTCTGAGCAAATGGTAGAATTTTTACCTCGTTTGACGGTCAGAGATTGCTCCGGTGTGGCGGCGAATGGCGGCAGTCGGCTCCCCGGCGGCTGGGCTGTCTTCTCCGGCGAGGGCTCTGGTGGCTAGGGTTAGGGTTTGGGTGCAGATGAGGTTATTTATACCCATATGCTTTTGATCTGAACTGTTCATCACTTTTAATCTGAACCGTCCGATCACGATTAAATAGGGAGTGAATATGGGTCGTTCATCGCGATTCAATCTGGACCGTCCGTGCGTGTTTTTTATCTGGGCTGTATGTGCGCGCGGGAACGGGTCTCAGTAGTTCGATCGCGGGCACGCGGATCGAACATGTGGCTCCCCCCGCGTGGCGTCCCGCGTCTGCGTCTCTGCCACCTAGCGCGTCCTGGTTGGTCGAGACTGCTAATCAGGCAGCTGATGCCGCGCGTAATTTTTCTAAATTGCGTTTTGACCCGTTTTTCTGATTTTTTGTTTAAAAATACCATCAGAACTCAAATTTTCACCCTTTTTTCCCCAAAATTATTTTTAATTAAATTTTCAATTATTTTTTTACCCTTATTATTATTATTATTACTATTATTTTCATTTAATCAAATTAAAATAAATTAAATTAAATTAGATTCAATTAATACATATTTATATTTATACAGAAATAACAAAATAAAATAAAAATAATTGGGTGTTACATAAGGCCTTAAGCCGTTAGTTTTGTAGTGGACATTTAAAACATGTTTGAGCTTTTAAACAGAGACACATGGAAGTTCAAGAACAAATCGCAATTTAGAGGAAAAAAATTAAAAGAAAATATAAAATAATAATAATAATAATACATGATTTTATGTAATACGATAACAATAGATTAAATGATACTGAAATATAAGCAAAATCATAAATTTGCTCATATTCTTTTTTCTTCTCAACTCATAAAATCATATAAAATTTGGTCTTGTAATAGGCCTGTAATCTTTATGTTATATGTTTGTTCATGATTGCACTAGATGGGGAGTAAAGTTTTGTCTTTTAACCATTTTCTTAAACTGGGGAGTACAGTTTGTCTCTTCATTTATGAGACGTTTTTTGCATTAAAAGATATTAAAATGTCATATCTTGACCTTTTTCTGGATCAAATGTTCGTAATATTTTTTGAGTCCTGAACGGCTTCCCCATGGTTTATGTAATCCCAGTTAGCTTTAAACCTCCAAATTGTGTGTGATTTTAGTAGACATTGTCTCTTTGTAAGATTTGAATTTTTCTATTGTATTCTTTGTAATTAGTAACTCTATTATAATAATTAAAAAAACTTATCTCTTATTTCTACACTATCTGTAATACCCTGGCCCAAATTTAGTTTGGTATTAATTTTTTAAAAAAATTAATAATAATAATAAATATATTTAAATATAATTTATAAATTTATAAATTTTTATTTAATGTAAAAATTAGAAAAATCTAGTTGGATGATGAAATTAAAAACAATTTTAAAAAAAATGGGTGAAAATTTGAGTTCGGATGATATTTTTAAAAGAAAATCAGAAACTGGGAGGTCAAAACGTAATTTAAGAAAAATGTGTCACATAAGATCGCCCAATCAACAGGCCCGACGAATCGGAGTGCGCCGCGTAGCAAAGCACGTTAACTCGTTGCTACGCGGGAGGCCACGCTGGCAATCCGTGTGCTCGCGATCGGACGGTCTAGATTTGTTCCCGCGTACGTGGATGGTCCAGATCCGTTCTCTCCTTAGGCACGATCGGATGGTCGTAATTAAACGCAATGAACGGCTTAGATTTATTCCATCTTTAAACACGATCGTACAGTTTAGATCAAATTGCAATGAACGGTCCCGATTCATTTACTCTTTAAACGCGATGAACGGCCCAGATTAAAAAGAGATAGATATAAATACCTTACTTCACACTGAACCCTAACCCTAGCCGCCAGCCCCTTGCCGAAGAAGAAGAACCAGTTGCCGGAGAAGGGAGCCGACCACCACCTGTCGCCGCGCCAGAGTCACCTCCGACTGCTAAAAAAAGTAAAAGAAAAATTCATTCACTCGAAATTTGATTTTGAACGCCCCATGGCCAAATTGGAGTAAAATGACCAGTGAATGAGCCAGAAATTGCGAGTAAAGTCTGGCACCACAGCGGACAAAACTAAAAAATGTCTTCGATGAGCCGTTTTCTGATTCTCGTTTCGTGTGATTTTTCCACCATTGTAATCACCATCCTGTTTTCTACAGATTGATCGAAGAAAAAGGCACAACTGCGAAGGTGAGTCGGCGGAGCCACCACACCGCAAAATTCTAATGTCTGTGAGTTTTTGTTTTTCAATTTTTTTCGGTCAACCGATATTCCTTAACGTGTTTTCTCGCATGGATGAGTATAAAACCCGTCGAAATCGTTCAAAAATGGCCAAAAATTACCAGTCCGAGGCAAACTGCCGCTGCAGACAGCGGTGTAGTCGTCGAAGCACGACGGTGCCACCGTGCCAGAATTTTGAAATTGGTCAGAAAAGGTTTTTAACACCGATTTTGAGTTTTTTGGAGTATTTTAAGTACTTGAAGCGTGTTTTAATATTCGAAGAAAAATTCAGGGAACCCGGGGACCGCCAGTAGGCGCAATTGAAAGTTTAGTGTTTTGGACACCGATTCATGTAAGAATCCTTCACCTTATTCCTTATTATGAAATTGAAGTTTAATTATAAATAATAAAGTATTTTGCATAATTTAAAAAAATTCGATAATTAATTATATATTACTAATGGAGCTGGAACCAGTTATTTTTTTACTGTTTGTCATGTTTTAACATATTGATTGATTTTACAGTTTTAAACTCATAATAATACATTGAAGTTGATAAGATGATTCAGTTGTGTTTTTATGATGCATGCATTACTTGTTTTGTGTTATTTACAGTTAAATTGTGAAACTGAAAATTAAATGTAAACCAAAAATTACTTGATTAAGTGAATGAATGAATGGTAACTTTACTAGATATCCTTAAAGATGGTGGACGGACCGGGTACATAGAGAACCATACTGTGAACATTACCTCATACTGGACAGGGTATTGAGAATTGGTATTCTTGGCGCTTATACCGAACGGGATATGGGGACGGCCAGTTAATTGACAATGTTGAATACGCGTAATGGGGACATCCCTATAGACCCCAATGGATACCAATAGGCAGATAAAAAGGAAAAGTTGTTATTATGACTAATTGAAAATGAGATTATGATGTTGTTTGTGTTATTGCCTCTATAGGTCGGTTTTGAAAATCTCACTATGATAAGTATGTAATAACTAATTTTATCTATGATAAATGAATTTACTTAAATTAAGAGTTCTATTAGTTGTTTTTATTATTTTTACCAACTTTTATTTCTGTATCGGTGAGTAATGTGACATTCTTATTGGGATACTGTAACTCACTCTTTTATTAACCATTTCAGATCAAGAGGACCAAGATCCAGATCCCGATCCATAATAGGATTGCGAATAGAATGACAAGTTGTTTACTTTCCATTTATTTCTTTAATTTTCGTTTTTTTTAGAAGAGTTATTCTCGTATCCCTATTAGGTAATCTAATTATTGTGTAAGGAATGTAAACCTTAACTTTATTATTTCGTTTCTGCATTCAATTTATGATTCTATTTCCTTCCATGTTCCGGGTCGTTACAATATCCAACCGTAAAAATTTCTAAAAATTGCCTCAAATGTATGGATTGAGGAAGCTTTATTTATTTTTTATTTTTGATTGATGAAATTCTAATTAACTTTTAAAAAAATTATGTTTTTTTGTTAAGTTTTAATCAACTGTATAAGCTTATATATGAGTTTATTGTGCACAAATGACTATTAATTTAATTCGGTCATTTAAATGTGATCCTTTAATATTAAGTAGATGTTGAGTTTTAATACATTAGATAAATGTGAGTTCTTTTTATATGCAGATATTAACAATGTTATTTTTGATTTATAGTTTGTCAAATTATAAATAATTAAAATTTAAGAATACTAATAAGCGGTTGTGATAGAATTTTTTCTTATTTTGTCGTTCAATTACCAAAAAAAGAGTAAAAACTCCAAAAAAATCATGTATTAATTTAAAATATCTATCACAAAACGTGCGGATTTTTTAGCTATGAATTAACGTATACTTGTGTTTTAGATATAATATTTTTTATTTAATACAAAAATAATTATTTAAATTCAAATATATTTTATTATGAAATCTCTACATCTTTTTCTCTAATGTAATGGTGTGGGTATAATAAATAAGTAATTGATTAACATTGTAATTTTTTAAGGAAAATAATAAGCCACAAATAACTGAATGTCAAAAGCCACACTAATTGCTTTACATTGCAATTTGAGATAACAATGAAGATATACAATATTCTCCTAATTTAAAAGGACTACTCGTGCAATAAACAATATAATAATGCAACATACATATATATATATATATATATATATAAAATATGCCTATTGACCGTATATCTAATATTAATTAATGAATCAAATCCTAATACGAATCTTTTTTTGTGTGTCATGACTTTATAGCACTAAGCAATTATTTATTTGTTTTTAAAGTCAAACAAAGTTTATTTAGTTAAATAATTAAGCATCTTTTGATCTTATTAAAATGCAAATTGACAAAAAAACTTTAAGCTATATAATTTAATTGGTAGTAGCGTAATGTTCGTTTAGTGAAAAGAAAAATGAAATTGGTTTTTATATGAGAGTTTATATTAGTAAACCCACTAATATATGATATAACTTAATTATATGTATGTAAATATGTCATTTAAATTATCGTTTTATTTGTTGTAGTCTTGCAAGTTACCATATTATACATCATACATTAGCAAAATATTAACCGTTGATTATCTTCTTTTTTTAAATTTTTTTTTAATATAATGATGCACGTTGCTATTTATATTATATTAATTAATTACAAAAGAATATTACTTTCTCTCTTGTATTAGAAAGTCGTATGTATATTTGGAATCTCACGACAATGTACGTTGACATTTTCTTTTTCCATTGACCTTTTTTTATGTTAAATTCAAAATTCCCATAACAAGAAAATGTAATCCAAAATTTTATGTTAAATTCAAAAGTAAAAAAAAAATAATAATAAATAAATAAAATTACCCTAACAATATTTTATTAAAAGAAGAAAAAGAAAGAAACTCGAGAGGAGGAAAATAAATAAGAATGCATAATATCATGTTATGATGTGTTTTGTATTTATTAGAGAAACAAATAACGAATTATTCTTAAAAGTAGAGTATAATTATAATTGTGTTTATTAATGATAATTTCTCAATTAAGTTAAGTTTCTTAATTGATTTTAAAATAATAATTAATTAATACGTCTTAAATTACAATCAAGTAACTATCAATCTATATATACATACGACTTTCTTTTCTTTTTTTTTTCCAAAGAGCATCCAGCTATCAATTTTTTTATTTATTTATTTTTTTAAAAAAAATAATAGTGGAGACGTGGGAATCTCTCAGTAACCTCACCTGGTCGGGTCAACCCCACGTTATTGATCTGCTCCGTTGACAACAACGTTTTCATTATCTTTTTTTACTTTCTTTCTTTCTTTCTTTCTTTCTTAAAGTATGTTTTCCAAATATCTTCTATTACAAAATTAAACTTCAAAAATTCAATTAAAAAACTAATCAGTCTAATTTGTACTCCTTATTATTAAAATTCATATTAATTAATATTTTAAAGCAGATTCTAGAACTAAATCATTATTTACAGCAAAATCTAAACCCCAACTTACCAATTGAAAAATTAAAATTTCTTATACAAATTTGATAGTTTTTGAATTGGCACCAGCTATGCGCCACGTGGAAAAAACCCAGTGGCTGTAGCACTTCGGGGTTCACCAAAGTAAAAAAGCACAAGAAAGTCATAGTCAACTCTCAAAAGTTCAAATCAACCGTTGGATCCAAAAAGGAGAGATCGGACAGTTCAGAAGGCTTTTACCGGGAACACCGGGTCACCCATAACTAATAAAAAAAAAAAAAAAAAGTTTGGTCAACAGTTTTACAAAATAAAAGAGACAAATAGAAAAAGCAAAGTTGGTACGCGCGATCCCCACCTATGGCCTTGAGCAGAACCTCTGCCTTGCGCAGAATTTTAACTCACGAGTTAAACCTAACTTTTGAAATGTTTCCGCAATTAAATTAAAGAATTAATTTAATTTTTTTAGTCAACGGTCAAAGGACGTGAAAATGGGAGTAAAACGTTCTAGAAAAACGCATATTATTATATAAGATTAAACGGTATTTGAATTATTATATCACGAAAAACTTTACAATTAAAATTTAGGTCAATAATTCAATTTTAAAATTTAAATGTCTTTTTTTTATCATTTTATTATAAAAGTTTCATGGATAGTTCAAGATAAATGTTTTCAAAATAAAAAAATAAAAAATATAAACCTGGTAAAGTTAGATACCCAATTATAATTATCTTAAAATTAAGATATTTTATAATTACAATTAATTAGGCTAAAATCCTTATCACCTTAACTTTAATAAAGAAGACATATCATATCACTATTATTTTTAACTTATACAAATTTTAAAATTTTTAACATGAACATTTTGTCAACAAAGTAATAGTGTTACTATAATAAAATTTTTTGGAATTGAATATTGAAAACTTTATAGGTCCAATTGAAAAATTAATTTAAATAAAATAAAATAAAAATTACAGCGTGATTTTTTTACATTTAAAACATGGAATGATAAAAAATAAAAAAATTTACATTTTTATATCTAATATTCAAAGCAAACGTATTCCTCACAATAATAAATTCTTACAAACTATTTTAGTAATAAATATTAAATTCAGAGAAAATTATTTCAAATAAAAATCAATATACATTGAACTTTCATCCTTTTTATCTAGTCTTGTCAACATAAACACTTTATACTATTTATTTTACCCAATATATTAAATATTTCCATTTGTGGGCCCCTCTGTCCACTACTCAAGCAGACCATCCTCTGATCTCTTATTTCTTTTTTCGCCATTGAAATCTTCAAACTCATCTCAGCCGTTGGATCAATTACCTCTTTGACTAAACTCCCATCACTTACCCGGTCACCCTGTCACCCCTTCTTCCTTATATCATCCCTTTCCTCTCTTCCTCTCTCCCTCTCAAACCAACTACCCTTTTTTCAACCTTTCTGTACATTTCAATTCAATGCTCTTTTGAGCTCTAAATCCCTCTCTCTCTCTCTCTAAGCTTCTTCTTTCTCTTCTCTGTTTCCACCTGCAGAGCCGTCTACAGAAATCGAAGATGGCCGTCGATCTCATGAGCTTTCCGAAGATGGACGATCAAACGGCCATACAGGAAGCGGCATCCCAAGGCCTGAGGGGCATGGAGCACCTGATCCGACTATTGTCTCACCAACCTAACACTGAAAATCATGTGGACTGCACGGACTTGACTGACCTCACTGTTTCCAAATTCAAAAAGGTAATTTCCCTCCTCAATCGGACCGGTCACGCGCGCTTCCGGCGAGGGCCCCTTCAGTCTTCCTCTTCATCCTCCTCGCCCTCCTCATCGTCAGCTTCTCTTTCTCTACCTCACTCTCAAACTCTAACCCTAGCGCCGGCGACCGTGCACCCGGCACCGTTCAACACTCAGGTTGTTAATCCGTCCGCAGTCACTGCTCCGGCAAGTTTCGTTCAATCACATCCGCCACAGAGCTTGACTCTTGACTTTACAAAACCTAATCTGTTTGGTTCTAAAACGAAGAGCGCTGAGCTTGAGTTCACCAAGGAAAGCTTTAGTGTCTCGTCCAGCTCCTCTTTTATGTCTTCTGCTATCACTGGAGACGGCAGCGTTTCGAACGGGAAGCAAGGGCCGTCGATCTTCTTGGCGCCGGCGGCACCGTCCTCTGGGAAGCCTCCTCTGTCGGCGGCACCGTACAAGAAAAGGTGCCACGAGCACGAACACTCCGATGATATGTCTGGCAAGCTCTCCGGATCCGCCAGCGGCAAGTGCCACTGCTCGAAAAGAAGGTACGCAGCGTTGTGTCACAGGCGGCGCATTTTATTAATTTATTTAACACTGCCCTAGAATATAGTCCTTGCATATTTAAGCTTTTGACTATTGCAGCACGCATGAAATTTATTAGATGCCGTAGTAAATTCGAGTATGCTAAAAAAGATTTTGACCCTAGTGAGTTAACTCGGTCCGTCAACCCTAATCAACGAAACAAACACTTATGTTCAACATTAAAACGATAACCTGTCTTTCGCTAATTCATCAAAATGTAAAATAAATCACGAATCTGCATACATCCTCTTATTACGAACGAGCGACTTGGTCGATTTTACTGTGAATAGTCGAGTTGACTCATACTCGCTTTGGTTAAATCGGTGAATTTAAAAGTCAACGATTTCTGGTGGCGGAGCAGTTCCGGCACATCATGCGTGAGAATGACTGATGTGTTTTTTAGTGGAGACGGGTATCAGAACTTTTGATCCTCGGGGTTTGAACAGTTTTCTCTTTATTGTCCTATTTCTAATACTGTGGGCTCGCTGCTTTTTGACCTTTGAAAATTGGGACAATTTCGCCTACTGTACACATTAGCATTCCTGGCGCACGATAAGAAATATATTTGTTTATAATTTTATAGATCATATAATTGAGTAAATTAATTTGAATATTTTATTTACGGTTTTTTTCATTTTAATTAATCAGGAAAAATCGCGTGAAGAGAACCATCAGAGTCCCAGCTATCAGTTCCAAGATCGCCGATATTCCACCGGATGAGTATTCTTGGAGAAAGTACGGTCAGAAGCCGATCAAAGGCTCACCACACCCACGGTAACTATCATGTTCCTCTCCTCCTAACCGTTGATTTGTTTGGAAAAAAAAACGATAGATCACCAATGTCGAAGACTTTTCAATGTTGACCAATTGTTTTTTTTTTTTTTTTTTTTAAATCTGCCAGGGGTTACTACAAATGCAGTACAGTGAGGGGCTGCCCAGCGAGGAAACACGTGGAGAGGGCCGTAGACGATCCGAGTATGCTTATCGTTACGTACGAAGGGGAGCACCGTCACACTCAACCCGCGTTACAGGATAACGTTGGGCTTGTCTTCGAGTCAACGTGAAAAAAATGCTTAGTTAGTGGAGCGACCCAAAAAAAAAAAAAAAAGAGAAAGAGGTAGACTTTTGTAATATGTTAGTAGGTGAGGGGGTTTTATGTAAATTTAATTCGTAATCAAAGAAAAAAGAGTTTGGAGAATCTTAATCTGCCAAGTGCACTAAAATCAAATTTGATTGATTTTTGATTATTTTAAAAATTTATTAATTAATATTCAAATTTATTTTTGACTTTTGACTGCTAAAAGAGAGCATCTAAAATGGGAGTGAATGAGTTGTTGGGGCGGTGGGAGTTATTTAATGTCAATTTGGTGGTTGTTGGTGTTTGAAGTAATCAATTTGGAATTGGACTTTGATTTGAGATATTTGTTAAAATAGAAAATTCTGAAACCCTCGAGTAACTTTGTTTTAGTCACGGCTACTGAGGATTATATCATTATTATGTTGTCTGGTAGGGGTTCTTGTGGTGTTTCGAAATGCACCTTTATTTAGGTTGTTCATTAAGATCCAAAATAGTTCTGAATCTATAATGGAATTCAACATTATTAAGTCTATAATTTTTAGCTTATTATCGTGGTAAGTTAATCTACTACCTCCTTATGCCATCAAAAAATGATCAAACCTCACCATATATATATATATATATATTGTTTTAAATTAAACATATAATTTTAAATACATTCACATTACTTCTTAACCATTAAATGTCTATTGATATTATTAGCACTGCTTACACATATATGATAACAAACCATCTCTCTGTCTTTCATTATTGCAATGTTTTTAGAAGTATTCAACATATGCATTTCCTATCTAAATGGGCATACTTCAAAGAATACATTTAAGATGTCTTATGTAAAGATGGTCAAAGCATGGTTTAGATTAGTGGTAATTGCTTCAACAATATTGACACACATTCTTGCTCAATAACATGAACTCTATTTTAAAAATCTTAAGTAAAGGTCCCAATCCGCTTTCTTTAAACACAATCTTTCTCAACTCATCGTCGCTCGACACCATCGACAACATATTTAAAATTATTTGCTATGAGTCTAAAGATCATTGTGAAGATCAAGAAGATGGATCAACTCCACATTACCTTCTATAACCACCAAACTTGTCGATTTCCATCCTCAATTGATTTTTATAGCTGTGATTCAATAACTTTTTTTTTTTTTTTTTAACTTGATGATGCCAATTTACAACCTACTAAAAAGATCTATAACAAACAAACTAAAGTCTCTTTTGGCATAATCAATATCCAATTGAAAAAAGATGGTAATCTTTAACTGGTAGAAAATATCAATCTAATTAATAAAATTATGATTTTGAAAATGGTTAGAAAAAAAAGGAGATGTCACAATAAGGTCGCATTAAATTAGGAGCTCATTGTCAACGTTAGATGAGAGAGTCTATTGGTTAATGAGAGTTAAATAGGTTGAAAGTAAAGAGGAAATAAGGATGTGGAGAAAAAACATGCTCTAACTAATAGGGAGAATCCAAAATAGAAGAAAGTAAAAAATATAAAAATATGAAGTTGGAAATGAAACGCTTGCCATTGTTTGAGGAAAGATTACATAGTGAGCGATGTGAGAAGGAGAAGAGATATGACGTTAATGATCAGGTAGAGCAAGGTTTGAAGCAGTGTAGGTTGTGGAGGGTCATCAACAATGATTATTGTTTTAAGATGAAGGAGTTGTTCTAGTTTATTTCATTGCTTATGTGAACATACCTTATAAAAAATGTGTAAGGTAATACTAACATCATTGATAATGAAAAAATGATTTATATATATTCAGAAATACATGGTTGATTTAAATTAAAAAAAAAAAAAAAGTAAAGGAAAGAGTTTGAACATTAACAAGTATAGAAAGGAATTGATTACCTTTTAAAGCTGTGGTTAATTAATTAATTAAGTCATATATGTGAATTTTATATAATATGTTATCTAAAATATTTAATTTTGTTCATATTATTTTTATATGTAATTTTTTTTTTTAAAAAAAGTGAGAATTTTTAATAGAGCGTATGTCAAACTTATCATATTGAGTTTATATATATATCTATTTCCTCCCATAATTAAAGATTTCTATTTCCCCAAAAATTAAATGAC